ACCTACAGTGACGTGCATTTCTCAGAAAATACACTTAATACGGAGGAAACCAATTCGGAGGCTCGGCGTGGGAAAGCTGGCCTAAATATAATTTGTTCTGCTTCGTGTTATTTCAGATCCACATGTATACACAAGCACCAAATATTTTGTTTAATAAAACTTTCCAGACGTACTAGATTGTTGACCAATCAATCTTACCACACTTACAGAGTACCACGTGTGTATGCTGATCGGTTCTTATGTAAACATAATTTATTTATTATTTCCAAGTTCTATTTATAGAATGTTCGCGTGATCTCATTGATTTCGTGTACTTTCCTTTCTGAATGTCATGGGAATTCCTAATCCAACATCACGTGTATGATGACTACGTTTTACTAGGAATCGTGTTTTTAAGGCGTGGAGTGATGTGAATTGTTAAGTTACACAGCTGTTTCATTCTCTTTTCTGAACACAGATACACTGTACTTGAATGAACATAACGTTATCGGCGGGATGTAGCATGAAGTACCGGTGTCAACTGATTTCTGAAGTAGCTTGTTTGGGTGTTGTTTTGTGTGGGTATAATTAGTATGCTTTATCAGTGTGCTGAAAATGGGATATAATCATAAAGATATTGTACAGCATGCTCAAACATATCTCCATACTACTTTCCACTAATAATAACTACGATGTTTGACTATTATTTTATCGTTATAAAACGTATAATTATCTTCCTATGTCGAAGTTATTCAGTGTAAAAGATAAAGATATGATGAATCAAACCACATCATACCCGGTTCCTGGTTAAAACGTCCCCGTTCTATCGTTAGTATACTTTTACTTGGCCTTACTGTGTCCACAGGCACTCGAGGCCAGGATATTATTTTTTAAACGTTGATTTTTGTTTTAGCACTCATGACTGACGTTATTTAAACGAAATATCAGCAGAATTCAAGTTTATGTGCCGGTTGACAAATCCGAGGTCCACGGTCATTAAAAATACACAAGGCAAGCAACTCCAGATTTTAAAAAATCGACCCCTCGCTTGGAAACTGGCTCAAAAAAAGTAGTTATGATAAGTTCCTTGTAAAACAATATGTATCCGTAGGTAGTGTGTATATTTACCTTTTATTTGGTGCATAACATTACAGGCAACGAGAAATTCACAATACGTACATGAGATTAACATCAGAATAATCGGAGATTTTATCGTCCATGTAATTATCTTTGACGGAAGTAACATGCCATTTCAAGGGCGGTCACTCCGACTTTTTGGGAGAGGAGTTCCGGATAGCACTATACCAGTGAACAGGTAAGAAAGGTTCCGATGTCATTACGCGCGTAACTTCAAAATAGATATTTTTATTTCTACAAATACATTTGCGGGGATGGAAAAATAATGGCTGGGCATTTAAAAAAAAAATAGAAAAAAAATCATTTCATTTCCAATTTCTAAGTTAATATATTTCCCCCACGATATTTTTCATAAATTGCGCCCTTTTTTCATTATCTGCATGATTTTTTTTTTCTATTTTTTTTTTGAAAAAAAATTCTCATTACCGCCAGCTTGATTGAAATTTGATGCATTCTGTATAATCCCTTACCATGATATTGTATCCGAGTTGGCAACTGTGGACTTTCTTTGCCCAGCCATTATTTTTCCATCCCCGCAAATGTATTTGTAGAAATAAAAATATCTATTTTGAAGTTACGCGCGTAATGACATCGGAACCTTTCTTACCTGTTCACTGGTATAGTGCTATCCGGAACTCCTCTCCCAAAAAGTCGGAGTGACCGCCCTTGAAATGGCATGTTACTTCCGTCAAAGATAATTACATGGACGATAAAATCTCCGATTATTGAGATGTTAATCTCATGCACGTATTGTGAATTTCTCGTTGCCTGTAATGTTATGCACCAAATAAAAGGTAAATATACACACTACCTACGGATACATATTGTTTTACAAGGAACTTATCATAACTACTTTTTTTGAGCCAGTTTCCAAGCGAGGGGTCGATTTTTTAAAATCTGGAGTTGCTTGCCTTGTGTATTTTTAATGACCGTGGACCTCGGATTTGTCAACCGGCACATAAACTTGAATTCTGCTGATATTTCGTTTAAATAACGTCAGTCATGAGTGCTAAAACAAAAATCAACGTTTAAAAAATAATATTCTGGCCTCGAGTGCCTGTGACTGTGTCGAACTATTTTCCATTTCATATGATAAAACTCACGATAGAACAAGAGGTAATTTACGTGGTATATCTTATGTTTACATATCATGGAAATCATGTTTTATTATGAATTATGTATTTCAATAAGCAATGTTTTACGAAGATTGATCTCCGTTACAAATTGTACACAGTCTTAAAATTATGTACATGTATCGTTCATGTACATGTGAAAGTGTGATAAATGCACTATAATAAAACAATATTGTATCGTACGATATTGTGTTGTGTTGTATATCATCTTGTATCTATGTTGTCTGCTGTATTGCATTAAGTGGAAATATAGAAGGCAACCGCTATTGACACGTACGTGGCAATAACTGTACCGGCTATTACCACGTATTTTTTAGAAATGACGCATGCGCACATCGATGTACAAGGTAAACTGTCATGGCTGCCGTGTATGATATACGTTACTTGTATTGGAGTTAAATAATGATGTTTCGTGATAAATTTAACTAGTTTTGTGACATTTTATGTAATGCACGATGTTAATATGACGTATATGAGTCAAGTTATGTATTTATATAGTGATGACAATACTTGATTTCTGTGACAGAGGATCGTATTTGTTGCTTGAAGCTGTTGGTTTTTGTGCCACGTAAATTACGTGTCACAGCTCAACAATGTATAATGAAGAATTTTCTCTCTAATATATAGTTGGACTGATGGAATATTTGTTGTAATCATTATCATAGTAAATATGTTCAATGGAGGATATTACTGGATTAATTTTTGTCGTGTAACTTTGACTGAATTTTTGTACAAAATTTCCCCTCTGACACAGTTCAAACTTGCTTGACTGTGACACGTAAAATCTGTCTTTTTGCATCTACAGTATATATGTAGCAATAGCAGCTAATTAATAGCTTATTACTTGTTTCAAAAACATGGATGTAGATTCTACTTATATTAATTTTGAATTTTATTTTAAAATTTCTTTTCTTTTTCTTCATATAATTGTGTCACATAAAGTGGGATTTATAGGCATAATCCCTTAGTAAAGAGTGATATGAACACCAGACAGGACAGTTTCCTCCAGCTAAAAATCAAGGAAAAAATGTAGAACTCTTAGCCATTAATGTAAATGTTTCCAGACTCAACGACGCGGACGTGGTTCTACCCTGAGTCCAATATTTAAATTTTAAATTTTAAACTAAAATTTGAATGAAATTTAATAATTTACTGATAATCAGAATGCTAGATATCTAATTGTTTTTGCTAAAACTTCATGCATTTTTTGTTTGTTTTAGAATTTCATTTGTGACAAAAAAAAAAAATTGAATTTATAATTTGAATTCTTTACTTCATTTTTTCAATAATAAAATATAACCACAATGCTGGGTGCAACTATTTATTGCAATAGGACATCATAACACAATAATACATAAACATGGCCTAAATAGGCTGAAACTATGAAAAACCCCAAGCATTTGACAATAATCATGTAGCCATGTAATACATTGTACATGTAGTAGCAAAAGCAAAATAGCAATAAAATAAAGCTACGTAAACAACAATGCCTCAATGACTTAATGTCTAAAAGCAAGATATAAGCTAATGCAAAAGCAAATTTAAGCATGCGGCCTAGCTGCGGCCATGATGGCTCTACTAAACGCTAAAAAATGAATTTACAAAATTCTACTTTAATTTATTATCTTAAAAAAGTAATTTTGTAACTGGATTTAATGTTATTTATTGATTTCATTATATTTTTATTAAAATTTTATACTGGTCTTCTATCTGCTTCACAGAACTCACTACAGTAAAATGGACCATCAGGATTGTTGATTTTTTTCACAGATTTCCGATTAATGCATTTAGTATGGTACCACTCATTGCAAATTGTACATTCTATCATATTGTCTACATCTTCATCATATGGTCTTCTACAGTTACAATAAATTTGAATTTTAAATTTTCCATATTTTGAATTTCTTGTTGATTTTGACTTTGGCGTATTTGGAAACATTGTGAAAGCTCCAGATTCTAAACCGTTTACAAGATGAGAACGCATTTTGTTTTGATCAAATATTATATTTTTAGGATCTTCTCCAAAACAGATTGTTACAGAAAATGCTATTGCAAATAATCCACAGTCTACACCTCCACATTGTTGTTGAACAGGAACATGATTAACAGATATTTGGGAATTTTCTGAGTTTAGAATGGTGCATATTTGTTTTTGAACTTCCATTGAAACTTTCTTATTAAGACTGTCATACAAATTTACCTCATCTTTATTACAATTAACGGTAGATACTGTAATCCAATGACCAGCACTTTTATTACCTTCAAACATAATTTGTACCATAGGATCCGTTACATTTTTGAAATTGTCCAGATGCTGAGAAAATATAGTTGGTTGCAAACTTTTCATATTAAATTGTTCTGACATTAAGTTTTGAGCTGCTAATATCACTGTATCATCCAACATTTGTTCTCTTTCAATCATTGATTTTTTTTCTTCTGATAAATTTCCGTTATTTTGAGAAAGCTTAACTTTTTTTAGATTAATATTTTCTGATTGAATTTCTTTTCTTTTATTTGTTTTTGAGAAATGATAGAATGGTTTATTACTTCCCTTTGGCCTACCTCTACGCTGTTTTACAACATTTATTTTCATTATGTTTCTTACTTCATTATCCACTTTACTTTCAATGCAATTATCTTTTTCTATTATCTAGTATCTGGTTGTGATTCTGATTCTTTAGAGTGTTCAATTATTTCTGTAATATCAGTACAAGTTTTTTTTATTACTTTCCCAGGATTCTTTTAAAGATTTTAAATTTTTTCAATGAATTCTTCCTGTCCACAAGTAGCTAAAAATGATGCCATATCTTTCAAAATTTCCATTGCTTTGTTGTATTTTTCTCTTTCTGTTAATGGTTCTACTTTTTTGGTACTTTCAGTTTCCCTTTTAACTAGCACAATGTTTTGTAATGGTGATTCCTCCTGCTCTTGTTCAAAATCAAACTTACTATTGAGTTGCCACTTGGATGGTATAAGGGATTGTATAAATAACTCCACTCCTAAATGTTTTCTACAAGCAAAGATGTGTTGGCATGGTAAACAATATATAGTATAAAATGTGCAGGAGCACTGTTCCATATTTCTGTCTACATAATATGTCTTGTGTTGGTATGTAACTTCTAACTTTTCAGTATTTTCAATCAGACGGATGTCAAAATCTCTTTCAGAATGTTTTTCAAGTTGTGGTCGAATAAGATCATATGCAGCTTTTACACAGGAATTAACAATTATATCACTTACTGAGTTAAGTTTCTTGTAATCTACTCTTGTTTTTAGTGTGTTGAAAGTTGATTTAGCTATGGAGTCAAAAGAATCTTTTATGAAGCGAAATAGTCCCTTAATTGATTCTGACAAGTGTGAATTTCTCTTGATATACGTCTTAAGTTTCTGGTTGTGGCTTTCCACTTTATTGTTGGTGTGATTTCCTAGGAATTTGGTTGTTGTCCTAAAATGGTGGACCCACATCTCCTTACAGCTATGCCAGTTTGTGTCAAAATAATCTATAAACTCAGGAAATTCTTTTTGCAAAACAGAATAATTTTCATTGTAATCAGATGCTGTGGGCGAATAAACAAGTTTTGAAAGAAGAAACATTAAACTAGATTTCCTATCACGTTTGATTTCTAATTCACTAACCTTTTTCTTGAAATATTTCATTACATGAAAAGTACACAATAAAATCTTTATATCTTTGATTTGTTCTGTTATTACTGATATCTCTGTCAAGTCTTTGTCAACCATAGCTACTGTTGTTGATGAAGTGTCATTGAGTTTACAAAAATGTCTAATTGCTGATGAAATATTTTCCTTCTTTTCAGATTTGAGATAGCAGTAAGCAACTGGTCTACCATGTCTTTCACTGTCTTCTACCATTATCACTAATAAAGAGTAATTTTCTATATTGAGTTTGTATGTCACGTCAACAAAGATAATGTCAGGATGTTGTTTATATAGTTCTTTCATTTTGGTGGTTTGAATAAAAAGTAGCTCCAAAGAATTGTCATTTGCCAACTATATAATAGATGCACTTTTTGTTTATATTCGTCTAAGATGTCAACCACCAGTTGTGCTTCTGTCCGTCCTTTCTTCTCAAATGTCTTAGTCTTGTTTTTTGCATTATTCATGTCCCTATTCGTAACCTGTTTCCCTATATTGTCAACAACATAATCCCTAATGTCTTTTGTGTCAACATTCATGTCAAAGAAATGTTTAATTTTGTCAATGTCGGAGTCACTGAGTTGTCTATGTCTTGGATAAAGTTTGTAAAGATCTTCTGAGATAGGATGGTTGTGGTTGTCACAGAATTTTGTTATAACATACTGCTGTTTCTTTGCATCAAATTTCAATCTCAACATAACTGGACAATCTTTTGCTAAATATGATTGTTTACTTCTAAATGTTTTACCTCTCATTCTTGGTTGACCTTGATGTTTACAAACAACTACAAAATAATCATAAGGAAACTCTGCACTATCCGACCCCTTGATTTTACAACTATCCTTGACACAAACAGGATGTTTTTTTTAACTCCACTCATCTAGAGCAAACTGAAAAGACTCAAAACTTGGAAATACTGACCCTATACCAAACTGATCTCCTCCTCCAACATGACTTCCTAACTTCACATCATCACTTAACTTTTCATTACTTAACTCCTGTACACCTGATTTTCCACCAACTACCTTCTTAATACCTAACTTAGAAACAATTACTTTCCGTTGACCTAACTCCACTACAATCGTGACCCAATGCGATAAGTATATGGGGGCAGTAGTATTACCATAGTAACACACCTAATAGTATTACCTTAGTAACCAGCATGTAGCAGTATTACCTTAGCAACTAGCATGTAGTAGTATTACCTTAATTACCCAGCATGTAGTATTACCTTAGTAACCAGCATGTAGTAGTATTACCTTAGTAACCCAGCACGTAGTAGTATTACCTTAGTAACCAGCAGATAGCAGTATTACCATAGTTACCCAGCATGTAGTAGTATTGCCTTAGTAACCAGCAGATAGCAGTATTACCATAGTTACCCAGCATGTAGTAGTATTACCTTAGTAACCAGCATGTAGTAGTATTACCTTAGTAACAAGCAGATAGCAGTATTACCATAGTTACCCAGCATGTAGTAGTATTACCTTAGTTACCCAGCATGTTGTAGTATTGCCTTAGTAACCAGCAGATAGCAGTATTACCTTAGTAACCAGCATGTAGTAGTATTACCTTAGTCACCCAGCATGTAGTAGTATTACCATAGTTACCCAGCATGTAGTAGTATTACCTTAGTAACCAGCACGTAGTAGTATTACCTTAGTAACCAGCATGTAGTAGTATTACCTTAGTAACCCAGCACGTAGTAGTATTACCTTAGTAACTAGCAGATAGCAGTATTACCATAGTTACCCAGCATGTAGTAGTATTTCCTTAGTAACCAGCATGTAGTAGTATTGCCTTAGTAACAAGCAGATAGCAGTATTACCTTAGTAACCCAGCATGTAGTAGTATTGCCTTAGTAACAAGCAGATAGCAGTATTACCTTAGTAACCCAGCATGTAGTAGTATTACCTTAGTAACCCAGCATGTAGTAGTATTACCTTAGTAACCAGCATGTAGTAGTATTACCTTAGTCACCCAGCATGTTGTAGTATTGCCTTAGTAACCAGCATGTAGTAGTATTACCTTAGTCACCCAGCATGTAGTAGTATTACCTTAGTCACCCAGCATGTAGTAGTATTACCTTAGTCACCCAGCATGTAGTAGTCACAGCATGTAGTAGTATTACCTTGGTCACCCAGCATGTAGTAGTATTACCTTAGTCACCCAGCATGTAGTAGTATTACCTTAGTCACCCAGCATGTAGTAGTATTACCTTAGTCACCCAGCATGTAGTAGTATTACCTTAGTCACCAAGCATGTAGTAGTATTACCTTAGTCACCCCAGCATGTAGTCACCCAGCATGTAGTAGTATTACCTTAGTCACCCAGCATGTAGTAGTATTACCTTAGTCACCCAGCATGTAGTAGTATTACCTTAGTCACCCAGCATGTAGTAGTATTACCTTAGTCACCCAGCATGTAGTAGTATTACCTTAGTCACCCAGCATGTAGTAGTATTACCTTAGTCACCCAGCATGTAGTAGTATTACCTTAGTCACCCAGCATGTAGTAGTATTACCTTAGTCACCCAGCATGTAGTAGTATTACCTTAGTCACCCAGCATGTAGTAGTATTACCTTAGTCACCCAGCATGTAGTAGTATTACCTTAGTCACCCAGCCAGCATAGTATTCACCCAGCATGTAGTAGTATTACCTTAGTCACCCAGCATGTAGTAGTATTACCTTAGTCACCCAGCATGTAGTAGTATTACCTTAGTCACCCAGCATGTAGTAGTATTACCTTAGTTACCCAGCATGTAGTAGTATTACCTTAGTCACCCAGCATGTAGTAGTATTACCTTAGTCACCCAGCATGTAGTAGTATTACCTTAGTCACCCAGCATGTAGTAGTATTACCTTAGTCACCCAGCATGTAGTAGTATTACCTTAGTCACCCAGCATGTAGTAGTATTACCTTAGTTACCCAGCATGCAGTATTATGATCCTTTGTAACCCATCAGGTAGTTGTATTTTCCTCAGTAATCCAGCACATGGTAGTATTACCCAGCATTTTTTAGTATTAACTTATAGTAAGCCTGGATATATCTTGATTAGAATGAGGATTGATCTTTGATTGATTGATGCATAAATTATATGTATAGCATCTAACCTGAGAACTTACTTTGAGTCGTATCCTATATAAGTCTAAAATTTATATCCATAGACTCAGAAGGGCCAAACAGCTGTATGATTCAGTTTAGTTTATAGTTTGGCTGTACTATTCTAAATCCTATGTAAAAAGAAAGGCCAAGGGGTCTTAACAGTCATCTGACTACAAAAACAGTCAGCAGGGAGAAGGGTTATTTTTTCTACATTAACTGAAATCCTACTAAGAAGCTGTTTTTGATGATGCAGATGGTAGTTTTGTTGAGCAGTAGATAACTGTAACAAGTGTTACCTAATTTTTAACAGTAAATTTGCAGCTAAATCCCACTGGTGAAACTTGCGAAGAAGTTTAGCTCAATGGCACCATTGGAACTGCAGAAATTTAAAATATGTTTTTCAAGATGGCAGCCATCTTTTGAAATAGGCGTTGCACAGGAAAACCATGATTGCGCAATCATGTTACAAAATGTCCTCCCTGGCTGCCGTATCAAAGTTTTGACAAGGTCGAAAAAAAAACACTGAGTTGGCTAACTTTCCTTCACATTCCAACCAATGTTTAGCTCAATGGCACCAATGGAACATGAGAAGAAGTTTAAAATATGTTTTTCAAAGTGGCGGCGATCTTGCATTTCAGACATACCCAAAAGAAAAAACAACACCTGATCAGGATCATTTCATGCAAGTTTGAGCTAAATTCCAGTGGTGGAACTTGAGAAGTTTGAAATGTCAAAAGTTTATGGACGGCGGACGACTACGGACAAAGCAGGATGGCTAAAGGTCATCATGACCCTTAGTACTTTTCACTTTTGTGTCTTGTATATAATCTTTGATGATGCTGGTCGAAGACACTGCTGGTTGACTTTTATTCTCAAAGGTTTACTGTTACCTTCATATCGTGTTTTCATTCATACAAATAATATGGCACATTTCAGAATACACACATATATATCAGACAAAAAGTCTTGTACATATAATCATTGACTCCTGATTGAAACTTGAAGATGGGAAAGCATTCCTTGGCTGGATTTGTCCACTATGTGATAAACAATCAACTGGTAACCAATACCACTAAGTTTCTGAATGTGACTTGAGTAATGAAAGGTTCAACTTTATTCACAGATTCTATCTGTGGTTACCTAATTCTATAAAATATTCTAAATTAATTTGTACAACTAATGTGAAATTATTGAAAAAAATTGTAATTTTCTTCACGATGTAATTATATACCATGATGCTCATGTATCATGTATATTGATCCGAGTCTCAAAGTTCTGCACTGCTTTGTTCATATGAAAATTACAAAATTTATTGAATTATAAGGCTTGTGTACCTCCCCATCTAGCTTTTGATTTCTTTGGATCACTTCTGGTTTTCCTCAGCAGCCTCATAGTTTTTAGTTTAGACATTTATCGATACTGGTGAGTCCAAGGACAAAAACAAAACTGTATGATGCCGTTTAATTCATTATTTGGTTCTATTATATCCAATTCGAAATTTGCAATAAAATGAAGTATTCACTTATATAAAAGACATTTTGAAATCTATTAACTTTGTCAGACAAGTAACCAAATGGTGGGAAACAAATCCACAGCTGTTTTGTAAGACTAGTATGATTTCCACACTTCAATATCTAACAACCTCCAGTAAACACATTCTAAACTTATCAAAAAAAAAAAAAAAATAAACATAAATTGAATCAATATTTTTTTATTTGTAAGAGATTTGAACAACACACATATAGTTGAATTTGAAAACAAAGAAAAGTTTGTGCGCTAAAGAAACTATTTCTTTCGACTAGCTCAACTATATGTTGACAACGTACTATCAACACTGTTATATCGAAAGTTACAGATAACACTTCCATGGGTTAGTAACCTGGTGTCCAAAGCATTGTGAACAAGACTACAAACCTTTAATATATCTAATAACGATGTAAAAGCAACAACGTGTCTGATCTGATTTGAACTAACTCTTATTAAACTAATAAATCAGGTTTAAATACATTTTTGAACATTATACAATATTTAATTCAAATTTAAAAATTAGTGATTTTGAAAACATTTATTTTTATCAGTCCTTATCATGAACACAGGGGATAGAAAGC